AATTTTATGTTGTCTTTGGTCTTCCCTGGGACATTCAATATAGTTTTCACGATGTTCTTTATATGCATCACATCGACGTTGTGGACCAAAAGAAGATCTTTCCAATATGGCAACTCCCAAAATATACTCTTCTTGTGCTAATTGTGCTGAACACCATAAGAATCATGCATATCACTGGGAACATGCCAATTACCACCATGAGGAGCTGTTTCTAGTGCACAGTAGTAATTGATTTGCACTTCAATTTGTTCTCCAGTTAAATATGGAGGAGGAGTGTCTCTAATCACATTTTTGTGTCTGAACAATGTCTTGTTTCTTCGGTATGGGTGGTGAAAAGGAAAAAATCGACGGTGACAATCGAACCAACTTGTCTTCCTACCATTCTTAAACTGAAACGAATTTGTCATTCCCTTATAATATGGACAAGTTAATTTCCCATGTGTAGTCCATCCAGACAACATCTCATATGCAGGAAAGTCACTTATGGTCCACAAAAGCATCGCTCGCATCGTAAAATTCATTTTCGTTGAGCAATCATATATCCTCACCCCTGTTGACCACAAATCTTTCAACTCTTTTATCAGTGGTTGTAGAAAAACATCGAGAGATCTTTTTGGATGCTTTGAACAAGGTATTAATATGGTCAAGAATAGAAACTCACGTCGAATGCACATCTCCGGTGGCAGATTGTACGGCGTAAGAAAGATTGGCCACAATGAAAATTGTCTTCCAGACATTTCAAATGGACTAAATCCATCAGTGCATGATCCAAGATACACATTCCAGCTATTGCTAGCGAAATGTGGATGTACTTTGTTAAAATGTTTCCAAGCTCTTGCATCTGATGGATGAGTCATCCTCCCATCCGTCTGAGTATGCTTGGCGTGCCATCTCATCCCTTCAGTAGTCTCCTCAGATTGGTACAATCTTTCAATCTATCTGTGATTGGTAGGTACCACATCCTTTGGTACGGTACCCTATTCCGTCCTCGTTTTTGCAGTTTGATTGATGGCTTCTTACAGAATCGACATTCTTCTAACTGCTCATCATCTCCCCAGTAAATCATGCAGTTGTCGATGCAAACGTCTATCACCTCTGAGGGCAACCCAAGACTATAAACCGATTTCTGAATCCGATAATAAGATTCAGCAGACACATTGTCTTCTGGCAAATACTCTTTAAACAAGTCTTTCCATGCATCCATGAAATTTTCAAGTAGATTTTGATCGGTTTTAATACTCATCATTCTAGCAGCCAACGGCAATTTTGAGAGACCTTCTCTACAACCACTGTAAATTGGTTTGTTCGCAGCTTCTAACATTTTATAAAAAAAATTTGCATCTAAGTTAGCTTCTTCAACTTCATCATCATGAGTTACAAATGCATCACCTACCATATCATGAAACCTATCACAATCGACCATATGTTCCTCCTGGTGATAACTATTTTCATTATGCAAATGATCAACGACCGGTTCATCATGCAAATGATCAACGACCGGTTCATCATGCAAATTGCTATTACTACTGCTAGCTTCATTCCTACAACTATAATCTTCTCCTAGTTGATATCAAATATATTAATGTGGCATGAAACCTCTATTGATTAAATGCTTCCAAATATTTTCATGAGGACCTAATATTGTATTGTTGCATTTCCGACAATGACAAAACATCTTACCGCTTTCATGCGTGAGCAGTGTAGAATCTGCTTGATGCATAAATGTCTCCAATCCTTGGAGAAATTCTTTCGTCACTCTCCCGTTATTATCTCTGTGCGTATACATCCACCTCCGTAACTCAAAAATATTCCCAGGACCGAACATATTTTTTCTTTCAAGCTTTAAACTGATTTTGTTTTTGTGTGTTTGAAATGAATCACAAATGGTCGTAGTAATATAAATTTTTGATTTGGTAGGTAAACATTTAGTAGGAATTTATAAAGAAACGTAGTTAGAATACTTTTAAATAAACAAAGCATCGCTATTTCCTCGGTAAATCATAGTTTAATTTTTTCTCGTAAACTTCTAGTCACGCTTACGTCGACTTTACGAGGAAACTAGAAAAGCCACATAGTTTCCTCGTAATATTACTAGTACATTATGAGGAAATTCTTTTCTCGAGACTTTTCGAGGAAAGTACGTGGCACCATTGTTTCCTCGTAAAATTCTCATAATATCGCCGTAATGTTACGAAGAAACATTTTCTTCTTTAATATTCCTAGTTAAAAAATTATTTTCTTGTAGTGTTATACTTACTGTGACATGGACACATCACCGTTGTTTAACTGTATCCAGGGATTCAATCAGAAGAACCGGTAGCAGTGGGTTCTGAGAGACACGTCACGTGGGTGTATAAGGAGGACGCAGCTTAGCTGCAGTGGAAATGGGTTTACCCATGATGAAGAATATGAAGTTGACAGAAACTACAATTGCTATTTTCATGAAAGAGTATTGATATGAAAGAGTGTAAGCAGAGGTGCCTTAGCGATTGTAATTATACCGCATTTGCAAATGTGGATGTCTGGAATGGTGGGACTGGTTGTGTCACCTGGACAGGAGAGCTTGATCGATACGCGGAGTTACGCTGTTGATGGTCAAGATCTTCAGACTGGCTGCTGCAGAGTGCTGACCTTGTTTAGCTCATGTTGTTAAAAATAAAACACAGATGCGACTATGTTATCGATAAATCTGGATATAAGACACAACTATCTAAATATGTCAACCCTAAATATATATCTGAATGAAGGTAATAAAAATAAAGATCGTATCCAAATCCATACAAAATATATATGCAAACATACCATATAAAATAAAAACACATAAATATGATTATAATATTTTTCCGACATCTAGAAAATCTTATTTACTTTCTTTGAATTTATTTTTGTCTTCAAAAACTAAAATCTATATATATGAGTATACAAGTTATAAATAAAAAAATTAAATGTTCACTAAAATTAAGACATTTTGATATCTAAAGATTCTTTTATTAACTTTTAATTAGTAACCAAATAAAAATAGATCATATTTATTATTACACAGTGTTCCGATGTACTAGTCAATACTATTAAAACATAATGACATTTTCTGAGGTGTCCTCCTGTTTCAATAGTATTTACAATTCTCTGCCACTGAGATATTTTAGGCTATACTTTTATTTAATTTTTTTTGTTGTAATTCATATTAAACCATCTTCTAATTAAGTGACATATTTTTCACTTCTTTTGATATTTTACCATGTGTAATTTATACATTTAATATATATTTTTCAAGGTTATATGAATTAAAATATATATCAAAGATTTTAAGTGTCTTTCTCTTTTGAAAATATTTACAACTATCTCATTTGATAGTAATATTTTGTGTGATTTTTAATTAGAAATATTAAATATTTATATACAATATTATAGAAAGTGATTTCTTATTTTATAAAATAAAATGAGTTAGTACTCATTTGTAATTTAATTTAATATTATTTATGATTTTTATTATTAAAATAATATTAAATCAATTAATATTTGTATTTAAATAAAAAGATATTATAAGATATTGTTAAAATGTGATCTTAGAAAATAGTTAAGAATATCTTTTTGATATCCTGTTTTGAAAATATTTAAATATCGTGTTAAGATTATGTGTTTCTTTAATAATAAATAAATTTTTTGTATTCAAAATAATAAAAATTAAATAAATGAAATGGTCTAACTTATACTACTTGTGAGTAGATAAATATTTACATTTTAATAGTATTGATTTACATTTTTTTTGTTTATGAGTTTGTGTATCGTGAAGTTTTAATACTCGAAATATATGAAAATAATTTATACCAATGTTTGGTTTCTTGACATGAAATTTTAATGTTACTATATGTTAGTAAAATAATTAAACTAAACTGATTGTTCCTTAGATTTAGGAAATTATTTTAAAATTAGGAAAAACAATAATTTCTTAAATTTAGGCTAAGTTATAATCTCAAAGACATAGATATATAAATAAGTTTTAAGTCTTAAGGTTAATTTTAGATTGTACTTCTATTTTAATAGTTTAGATTGTTAATTATATATATTAATATGATTTCAAAAAATTATGTATCTGTGATAGACATATTATCGAGAAATTTAACAAATAACTAACATAAATAATATTTTTTTATCTATTCTAAAATTTGTTACATAAATCTATCGGATCTTTTTTCTATATCATTTTAATTTTGCTTGGGAGAATCGGAGAAACGTTTATCTTTCTAATATATATTTTCGTCTGTACAATTATAATATCATCTGTAAGTGTTAATATTTTAACTTCTAATTAATCTTCCGTGTTCTCATAAGCTCTAAATATATTTAAGGTTTTCTGATGTTTATTTCATACCTTAGCATTTTAATAACTAAGTATTATAAAATTAAATATTCAGTATATATTCATTAACGTTTCTTTATAAATTACTAATCTTCTTCGAAATACACCGTTCATCTTCTCATGCTGTATTAATGGATCTTTGATTGATATATGTGTGGTTGTTGTTGTACGGGTGCGAATACAAAACTAAGCTAGCTTTATGGATTGTTAAGAGATACAAAAGAGAAAATGGCATTAAAGTTAATGTTATAGCAGAAACTTTCCATGAAGGGCAAAGTATATGATCTTTGACCCAAAAAAAAACCCCTTTGAGACTAGATATTTGCAGTCGATAGTCTACTTTACATGTGACATACAAAGAAGAGTGTAAAAAGTTTCTACTACTTCACATGATCATGGTTTGAGTGGTCCTCAAGCAAAGATTCATTTGCAGTTGTTAACGAATAAAGGGTTTCAAATTTAATCTCTAAAATTATAAGACTTGCACATGAAGAATTAATGACATAAGAAGAAGGTACATAGGAACAACAACGTGGTATTGTCATAAAATTTACAAAGAAGTGGAAATAAAACAAAAAAAAAAAATGTTTTGATCATATGATGAAACAGATGAGATGTGCAGCTTGGATGCATGTTTGTATCAATAAGTGCCAATCAACCCTTGGTCGAAGCTTGAAGAAACAGAGTTGGGAAGTTGAGTAAACGTAGCCGTTTCGTGGTTAAACACAAAGACAGAGAATTTGCTCTGATGATTCAACGAACATACGTTTGAGGAAGAAGCAGGAGGGCTCAGGAGGTATTGTTGATCGGTACTTGTTGACACATGATGATCACCACTCATGAGAAGATTCATTAACGATCCTGTCTCTTGTTGTTGATGATCAAGATCGTACGGACCAAAATTCATCAATGGATTCTCCTCGATTAGTGAAGAAGACAAGTCATTGGGGAGGAAGAAGCCAGAAGAAGACGCCGGAAAGTTGTGATCTTTTTCAGAGATTACACCAAGACAAGGGCTCTGATCACGCTCGGCTGTGGTCTGATGAAGGTCACGAAACCTGTCTTGTAATATATGAAACTGATCGAACAAAGAACCCTCGAACTCTCCAACTTTCTTTGTGAACTTCTTGTGTTCCTCTGCGTTGGTAAGAGATCTTTTCTTCTCGTCAGCGAGTTTCTTGTTACAGAATTGAGAAAGATTCGTGTTTTTCTTGAGTTTTTCTCTGTCGCCTAAACTGTTATAACTCCCGAGAATGTCTTCCACTTTGCTCTGTTCTTCAGGGTAAGTTTCGACGAGATTTCCTTCACGATCGTAATGGATGACACAGATTTCGTTATCGCAGAGGATTGAGAGCTCTAAAGCCTTCTTGAGAATGGTCTTTTGTCTTGTGATCAAGTTGGTGTTCTTGGAACGAGTTTTGTTTCTTACAGAGAGCTTCTTGTTGTTGTTGTTCATCTTTGTCGAAGAGAAAGAAACAGAATCCATGGCCAAAACAAGAGAGTTTTACCAAGAGAAGAAGAGAATTGTGACTGATTAGCTTGACCACCAAGGTTGTTTAGCGATGTGTGTATTTATAGATTTTACATATCATCGTTTATAATTTCCATTTTTCCAATATCATATAGCCGTTGCGAATTTTTAACCGTTTAAGTAATTAATTTAATTGCATAATAGTTTTTTAATTTAACAGATTCGAAGATCTGTGGTACTTTTGTTGCTTCGTGTAGGATTTTATTTGATTTGATCTGATTTCTCCACACGTGCTCACATTATTTGTAAATTAAATTAAATGTGAAATTTATTACTTTTCTTCCACTTGTCTATCATTCTTAACAGTTTCGTTGGATAGATTAGCAGATATGTGTTCCTCAGGTTGTTGCAATCATTACTAATTTATATCTCCAAGCTCTCTTCTTTCTATTTTCTTTTGTTGTCTTTACGAATAAATTTGACAATTATAAATAAATTAAGTGCCCTTTACTTTCAGTGATAGGAGAGAATTGCCGTGACGAGGAAGATGGAGACGAATCTGAAAGAATTAGGGTTTACATTATCTAAGCAGGACGAGACTATACGACGAGCAAGAGGAAGCTGCGCTGTTTTTCTTCGGAGAGGTAAAGATTCATTTAAATAGTATCAAATTTAGAAGGTAAAGAAATATATTGTTAAAATGTATCATCTGATACCACTTCTCTGCATAAACACCTCCCATAATAATAAGAAATCTAAATAGTTTTACGTGTAAAGCATAAAATGGTTTATTACTTTTTCTTAGAAAGAAATGCGGTGAATGTGTTCTGTTTCTTCTTGGGCGTTGGAGCCAAGGTAAGGTGATCAGATGCACGGTCGGTCCTAAAAATTTGGGAACTTGAAACATAATTAAAATGGAGCCTATTTATTACATTACAAAATATCACAAAAATAGACTCATAAACATAAGTTTTTTTTTGTAAATTAACTTATAAACACGTTTAAGATATAAAGTAAGGCTATTTCAGCAAAAGAAAAAAAAACAAATAAAAGAAAGGCAAGAAAGAGGAAAAAAGAAGAGAAACACGTTAAGTTCGAAAAGGATTTTTCAGTTTATGAATTTTTATTCTGTTTGATTTATTGGGCTATTTCACAATGTGTTGTTTGACCCATTCAGATGAAGTTCAGTTGCTAAAATCAACGTGAAACTTGTCTCATATATTAGACTTTTTCTTTAAATGGGGACCTCTTACAAATGGGGACCTAAGGCAAAAATTTCAATGAGCTTGGCCTAGGGCCGGTCCTGAATTCAGATGGAACTGTGTCAACAACTACACAAGTAGTATCATCCTTCAACCCTTTTGTTCTCCATGCTTCCTGGAAAACAAACATATGTGGTTCAGAGGATAAGAGGAATCTAGATCGGACGATATACAATGTACAAAGTTTAAGTCAATGGGGTTAATGACCAAACCTTAACAACAAGAAAAGCAGCAAGCTTTGGCAGCCATATCAGAAGAGAGTATATCACATATACCATCTGACGCTATAATGAGTCTCGCTCCAGCATCTGAAAGCTTTGTTCAGTGTCTAACAATATAACTATTGATTAAAAATGAACCAAGGGGAAGGAGATTTTCTTTCACTTGTTTTTTTTTTTTTGGATCCAAAAATTCACTATAAGAAACCAATGTAAACAAAGCAAATTAAATGGTAATACAGCTTAATAACTTGAATGAATTGGGGACTGTAAGCAAAGCATTGGACCGTACAACCTCCCCCCAAATCTCAAACTCCAATCCGAAGAAGCGCTTCTCCAACTTAATCACCGCACACCAAATTCGCCTGTTTTTGCAGACATGATTCCGCATCTTCCCGGCCAATGGAAACTCGAGTGAATAATCTAGCTCGTCCCATATAACTAGGATACTTCCACCACCATGGTTAGCTAACTGAATTGTCGTATGGTGGTTAACATGATCCTTGAACACATCTTCCAAACCCTTAACACTGAACCACTTTACACGCTTTGAGTCATCATACCACTTAAGCATACGATCAACAACACTAAACTTTACATTTTCAACAACGCACCAAGGTCCACTCCTAAGTCTCCTCCTATTATTAAAAGAAAAATCTCGATATTTCTTCCATGCTCCTTGTTTGGAATCATATGCATACTTTTTATGATTACATATGGCGAATAACTCTCCTCTACAAAGCTGAACCTTGTAGTCATCACTGAGGCTAGGCAATGGCTTCCAAGTCTGAGAATTTAGGTCGAAAACCTCAGACTCCTGTGTTCCTCCTCCAACAACATATATCTTGCCCTCTATAAGAGCAGACTCGGGGCGTTTCCTTGCTACCCTCATATCAGGAGCATCACGCCAAGTGCGAGTCCGAAAATCAAACACACGAACGGCGGATGATGGGAGCTTGTTGCCTCCCAATATGTAGATTTCGGAACCGACAGCTAAAGTGGTTGACTTTGATGGAGAGAGGGAAGTGATAGGGAATAAGTTAAACTCATTACCATTACTACTGTCGGTACTTAGTGCTTGGTCAAGAACGTACCAACGATCATGAGTGGGTAACTCTTGACGTATGCAGAGGCAAGGCTCTGTGTTTCCGATCTGGTAACGAACCGTGTAGAGCTCTGGGGAAGAGATGAGAGAGTGGATGGCCTTGGAGACTAAGGAGAGTGAACGGTACTGAGATTTAGAGATGCGTGCTAAACAATTCAAACCGATGTCATCTGGAAGCTGTGAAAACCACCCTGTATTAGTATTCCTCTTCTCCTCCTTCTTCTTCTTCTTAGGTGGTTGATCAACTTTGGTGATTCTTTCAGGTCTTGAATATAAGCCAGGCATGGTGGAGACTGTATTAGTATTCCTCTCCTTCTTCTTATTCTTCTTCTGCGGCGGGTGATCAACTTTGGTGGCTCTTTTAGGTCTTGAGAATAACCTAGCTATGGTCGACATAACCTAGCTATGGTCGACCAGTTTTACTTTCACTTGTTTAACATGCAGTATTGGGACAATATATATATATAGCTAGGTCAAAGTAATTAATTAATATAAACCAAGTGGTTTGGTTCAACGAAAACAAAAAGTTGAAATAATTAATTAAACCAAAAAGAACCAGGTCTGATTATATATAGAAATATTTTATTTTATTTTTATTTCTTAAATCCGGGTCGGTACACTATAGTTATTCAATCTTTCTAAATTTGATGCGATGAACCAGAGTCGTAAATCATTAAAATAAAAAATAATAAGAGTAATGGGAGGATTGAACCCAGGTTTGGTGGGGCAAAAGAGATTTTTAACCTACTAAGCTACATAATTCATTATATCCTTAATGCACTTTATTGAAATGTTATATTATTGTGGTGGCAACTGATCCCTTGTTGTTATATGTAGATGTGCCACTGATTTTGAGGTTCCGAGTCTCGATCTCGTCTGCTTCGTGAGTGTATTCTTGATCTCGTCTTTTTCGTGGTTGTTCGTTCTCGTCGTGTTACTATCGTTGTTGCTGATCTCGTATGTCTGAAGCTTTGTCGTCGTCGTCGTCGCCGTCGCTAAACTCTCGTATGCCGTCCCCGTCGCTAAACTCTCGTATGTCGAAAAATAAAGAGATAGAAAATTATGTTAGAATTGTAAGAAGATTATTTTAGTCAGTTACAAATTAATAGGTATTTATGAAAATGTCCCCTTATTAAAGGTAAAGTTGAATAATGATATAGAAAACTGTTTAAAAGTAAAATTAACCCAAATTGTAATTTGAATTATTATAACTATAAAGATTAATTTCGAATTTAAGTTTACTAGGTGTTTTGTCCGCACTTGCGGGTTTAATAATTTTACTAGTATCTTTAAATAACTATATAATCAATTTAAGTAAATTATAATAAATTATTGTTCATAGACTTAAAATATTTAATAATAAACTAAAAAAATTCTTTCTATATATAAAATTTTTCATTATCTTATAAATAATTTTCATTACACAAATTAAATTTGAAAATACTCATAAATTTAAAATATTTAGTAATAAATTAATACCATTTTTAGATATAACAAAAAATGTATAGTAAATTATGTTTAGTAATGTTTTGGATAACGCAATATAAATTATCTATACATAAATTCTTTACGAATTGATTTTTCATAATTAACTATATATTAACAAATAGAATTATTTTTCAAGTTTACTAAAGACTTTATAACAAAATATAAAAAAAAAAGTTAGATAAAGATAATTATCAAATTCATGAAATTATTAAGATCATTATTAGACATAACAAAAAATGTATAATAAAATTATCTTTAGTAATGTTTTGGATAACACAATATAAATTATCTATACATAAATTCTTTGCGAAATTATTTTTTATAATTAACTATATATTAACAAATATAATTATTTTTCAAGGTTAATAAAGACTTTATAACAAAATATAAAACAGTTAGATAAAGGTAATTATCAAATTCATGAAATTCGTTTTTAATTTAGATTAATTATATATTAACAAATATAATTATTTTTCAAGGCTGATAAAGACTTTATAACTTAACATAAAAATAAGAATAATTATCAAATAAATAAAATTCATTTTTAATTTATAATTAATTATATATTAACAAATATAATTATTTTTCAATGTTACTAAAGACTTTATAACCCAATATAAAATATTTTTAGATAAAGATAAATCTAAAAACATTGAAATTCGTTTTTTATTTATGTTTAGTTATATATTAAAATTGAAATTTTTAATTATTCATTAACCGCTCTAACTTTAAACGTAGGAGCTCCGGTTCGAAAAATCACTTCGCAAATAATAGTATAGATGATTAAATTTTATAAATACATCATTTAATATAAAAAAACAAATATAAATACATGTTCTGTCAAGGTCTAGTTGCATATTAAAACCCAAAACAAACTAATATCTAAATAAATCAGACCTATATGTAAAAAAAAAAAGGGGAATTGCCAAAACTAACCCCAATATTCATTTTAACCCTAAAGGTGTACCCCATATTCAATCAATTATAAACTCAACCTAAATGGATGTTAAAACTACTATTTAACCCTTATGAACAAACAAAAACGCAGAATATATTTTACGATTCTTTCATTCACAGGTCTACACTTTAAAAAAGAAGTCTACAACTAGATAGACTTACAATAACGTCTACTGTGTAGACTTATTATTTAGTCTACATCTTAATTTAATCAAATAATTTAATTATAAAAATGTAGAAAAAATGTTTTTGGTATTTTTAAAAAAAAATCATCAATTTAAAGGTTAGTGTGAGGTATATAAATTAAATTTTCATATAATTGAACAATTTAAAAGAACGTATATTGATTTGGGAACTATGTGGTAGACAATGTTAATGGTTTAGCAACCAAAGGTTCTAACATGTTATGTCTTTTAGAGTTAGACTCTTAGGGTTAGATTCTAGATTTAGAATTATTTTTTTAATGATTCAAAATTGCATATTTAATGTTGAGGAGTTTATATTTTGTATATATGATATTTGGTACAATGACTAAGATTTTTTTTATAATCAATCAAACGTTTAGGGTTTGAGATTTGGGGTTTAGGGTTTGAGATTTCTGGTTTAGGGTATAGTAGACTTACAGTTAAGTCTACTTATATGTAGACGTCTATTTCAGTCTACGTTAATTTGTGTTTACCAAAATAAATTATTNTTTTATAATCAATCAAACGTTTAGGGTTTGAGATTTGGGGTTTAGGGTTTGAGATTTCTGGTTTAGGGTATAGTAGACTTACAGTTAAGTCTACTTATATGTAGACGTCTATTTCAGTCTACGTTAATTTGTGTTTACCAAAATAAATTATTTTAAAATTAAAATTAACTAAGCGGGAAGTGAAAATGAATTTTGGAGCATATTTTTCTATATTGGCGCCAATATTTAGGGTATAATAGACTTACAGTAAAGTCTACTTATATGTAGACGTCTATTTCAGTCTACATTAATTGGTGTTTATCAAAAAAAAAATTTAAAATTAAAATTAACTAAGCGGAAAACGAAAATGAATTTTGGAGCCTATTTTTCCCTATTGGCGCCAATACTTACGGTAAAGTCTACTTTGATAGTAGACGTCTCTTTTAGTCTACTATAATTCAAAAAAAATTATTCTAAAATTAAATTTATTTAGTTATGAATTAAAATGTGAATTAAAATTTTATCAACAAAAAATATATACTAAGTCTACTAAATATATAATGAAAAGAAAATTTTAGATTTTTAATGATTTTATATCTTTTTTATTTTTATATTTTGTATAATTATATTTATTTTTATTTAGAAAATAATTTATTTATTTATATTTTTATGAATTTTATTGATTTTTTATGTTTTGTTTTGAATTTTTTATAATTTTTTTATTTTCTGTATTTTCATATTTATTTTATTAATAAAATAATCTTTTTTTGTCGTAAGGTTTTGGTCGCTGACGCTAAAATTTTCAGCGTTCAAAATTTTTAATCGCTGAACGCTAGCGTCTGGTCGCTGCGATCAGTCGCGAGACGGCGACCAGTAAACGAACAACGTTTAGTCGCTGAAGTTGGTCGCTGACGCTAGCGACCTCCAAACGAACAGGGCCTATATATTATAAATTATTTAAACAATAAAGAAAAATATTATAGTAGACTTCTTTGTATGTCTACCTAACTTAAAGTTTTAACCAAAATAATTTTAATCAAACCAGAATTAAACAAAAGAGCTTTAACCTAACCAGAAAAATGAGTTGACATATAAATACTCTTTCTTATTAAAAAAAGGGGCGACAAAAAAAATCAAGCTCTCTCTCTCTCTCTCTCTCTCTCTCTCTCTCTCTCTCTCTCTCTCTCTCTCTCTCTCTCTCTCTCTCGATTCCTCTAAGCTTCTTGGTGTTGGATCTTATGTTAAATGTTTATGTTGTGTTTGTTGTTGGGTTTTTTAATTAGTTCTTCTTCCTCTTCTGATTCGAACTTTTTAATTCAAAGTTGAATTGCTATGATCTATAAAGCTGTGATATTTTTTCCTAATCTGGGCTTCATGAAATTGGTTGAAAGATTGTGGCTTTCTGAGAATTTACGTTTCGTTTTGTTATTTGCCATGGCTGTTCTATCACAAAGTTATTGGTGTTTCTACGTTTTATCTATTTGTTGAAGGGAAGGCTGCTTCCCCAAACGTGTCTCGAGTTTTGGAGAGCATACCAATAAGCTCTATCTATAGCTTTTGACACTTGATCCTTTGATTTTTTTTTTTTTTCTTATCTTCTCTTGGCCAATGAGATTTGTTGTTGCAAAGTTTAAAATGAGTAACTCACTCACTCCCAAAGTTTTGTCTTTTTTTTTGTATGGTGAAGGTTTGTAGACCGCTTTTGAAGATCAATGCGGAGTTTTTAGCTGAGGAGTTTGAGACGGCTGTGCTGAATCCTAACGATACTTTGAGTGACATTCACATTCCTCTGTTAAAGTTTGGTGCTTTGGCTATACATTGTTGTCTTCTTTAAGCTACTTGTGTCTTATTAATGTTTTCTTAAGTCTTGTTCGTGTCAGTGTTAACTTCAATGTACTTACGCCGAGTTGGCCTCATTGGCATGAACAAAGCTTCTTGTCATACCACCGTACTTCTGGTTCACAAGGCTTAGTTTTTAGATGTTTTGATAGCTTCTCTGGTAGACACGTTATAGACTTGTGCTACTCTGTTCAGGATCACTTATTTTCTCTGAAATGCTTTCTTGAGTTATGTTAAAGTTTCTTGATTGAATTCTTTGATCACTGTCATGAATGATATCATGATTATTATTTGTTGTGCATAGTTCAGTGGATGATTTGGAACGTCCAAATTGCTTAGCAGTTTACCAAAATATTTTTTAATTTGCAGGCCATTCCTCCTGTAACTAGAACGGCACTCACACGTGATACCTCGGTCGCTGTCTTGTGCAGAAAAAATA